GATCGCGACGTTGAAGATCACTCGTTCAAGACGGCGACGTTAGATAAATATTTAAGATGGAAAGGAAATTGTGTTGTACATGTCTGTGTCACCTTCAGTCCTCCAGGAGCACAGCACCTCACCTTCAGTCCTCCAGGAACACACCAACACCTCACCTTCAGTCCTCCAGGAGCACAACACCTCACCTTCAGTCCTCCAGGAACACAACAACACCTCACCTTCAGTCCTCCAGGAGCACAACACCTCACCTTCAGTCCTCCAGGAACACAACAACACCTCACCTTCAGTCCTCCAGGAGCACAACACCTCACCTTCAGTCCTCCAGGAACACTCCAACACCTCACCTTCAGTCCTCCAGGAACACTCCAACACCTCACCTTCAGTCCTCCAGGAACACAACACCACCTCACCTTCAGTCCTCCAGGAGCACAACACCTCACCTTCAGTCCTCCAGGAGCACAACACCTCACCTTCAGTCCTCCAGGAACACACCAACACCTCACCTTCAGTCCTCCAGGAACACACCAACACCTCACCTTCAGTCCTCCAGGAGCACACCAACACCTCACCTTCAGTCCTCCAGGAACACTCCAACACCTCACCTTCAGTCCTCCAGGAACACACCAACACCTCACCTTCAGTCCTCCAGGAGCACAACACCTCACCTTTAGTCCTCCTGGAGCACAACACCTCACCTTCAGTCCTCCAGGAACACAACACATCACCTTCAGTCCTCCAGGAACACACCAACACCTCACCTTCAGTCCTCCAGGAACACACCAACACCTCACCTTCAGTCCTCCTGGAGCACAACACCTCACCTTCAGTCCTCCAGGAACACAACACCTCACCTTCAGTCCTCCTGGAGCACAACACCTCACCTTCAGTCCTCCAGGAACACAACACCTCACCTTCAGTCCTCCAGGAGCACAACACCTCACCTTCAGTCCTCCAGGAACACACCAACACCTCACCTTCAGTCCTCCAGGAACACACCAACACCTCACCTTCAGTCCTCCAGGAACACAACACCTCACCTTCAGTCCTCCAGGAGCACACCAACACCTCACCTTCAGTCCTCCAGGAGCACACCAACACCTCACCTTCAGTCCTCCAGGAACACACCAACACCTCACCTTCAGTCCTCCAGGAGCACACCAACACCTCACCTTCAGTCCTCCAGGAGCACAGCAACACCTCACCTTCAGTCCTCCAGGAGCACAACACCTCACCTTCAGTCCTCCAGGAGCACACCAACACCTCACCTTCAGTCCTCCAGGAGCACACCAACACCTCACCTTCAGTCCTCCAGGAGCACACCACCTCACCTTCAGTCCTCCAGGAACACACCAACACCTCACCTTCAGTCCTCCAGGAGCACACCAACACCTCACCTTCAGTCCTCCAGGAGCACACCAACACCTCACCTTCAGTCCTCCAGGAGCACACCAACACCTCACCTTCAGTCCTCCAGGAGCACACCAACACCTCACCTGAAACAAAACAAGTATTATACAACCATTCTCCTCTTCATGTATACACAAATAGTTCAGCATACTGAACAACCAACCCCTCCTCCTGTTGCGGCAGTACCAACAGTAACCAGGAGCACCAGGGTATATACCCACGTTCAACGACATTAGAAAGTGAAAATCTGAACTATTGAGTTGGACAAACTATAAAACTATTTTTTACTTGTGTTGGTTAGACAACTAGGAGAGGGGGAGGGGGGGGGGCAAGCCATTACGCCTATATAGCACTGGGAAGGGGATCAGGATAAGGATTTGCAAACTAAACTAACCAAACTTCCCTAGGCCTAATACACGATATCTGAGGCCTAATATAGTACACATGTGTGCTATACTAAGCCTAGGAATATTTAACTTTGTTTTTTAACTTCATTTATTAAAAAAAAATCCTACTAGTCAGTATATTACTATCTCAACAGGAGGGCGGGATGCAATAGGCCTATATATATATATATATATATATATATATTATATATATTATTATATATATATATATATATAAACGAAATATATATATATATGACAATGTCAGACCACGGAGGAAAAATGAAACAGGAATTTCCTTAAGTACTTTCGTATATTAAATACATCTTCAGAAGGTCCAAACCTTCTGAAGATGTATTTAATATACGAAAGTACTTAAGGAAATTCCTGTTTCATTTTTCCTCCGTGGTCTGACATTGTCATATATATATATATATATATATATATATATATATATATATATATATATATATATATATATATATATATTATATATATGCAAACAAGCCTGAATGGTCCCCAGGACTATATACAACTGAAAACTCACACCCCAGAAGTGACTCGAACCCATACTCCCACAACTGGTATGTACCAGGGACGCCTTAATCCGCTTGACCATCACGACCGGACATAAGGAAGTGATAGCCGAGGCTATATGAACCACTTCCCCGCCGGCACTCGGATGGTAATCTTGGGCATAGCATTTTATCAAATCACCTCATTCTTTGGGGCACACGTGAGGAACACAAATGCAAACAAGCCTGAATGGTCCCCAGGACTATATACAACTGAAAACTCACACCTCAGAAGTGACTCGAACCCATACTCCCACAACTGGTATGTACAGGGACGCCTTAATCCGCTTGACCATCACGACCGGACATAAGGAAGTGATAGCCGAGGCTATATGAACCACTTCCCCGCCGGCACTCGGATGGTAATCTTGGGCATAGCATTTTATCAAATCACCTCATTCTTTGGGGCACACGTGAGGAACACAAATGCAAACAAGCCTGAATGGTCCCCAGGACTATATACAACTGAAAACTCACACCCCAGAAGTGACTCGAACCCATACTCCCACAACTGGTATGTACAGGGACGCCTTAATCCGCTTGACCATCACGACCGGACATAAGGAAGTGATAGCCGAGGCTATATGAACCACTTCCCCGCCGGCACTCGGATGGTAATCTTGGGCATAGCATTTTATCAAATCACCTCATTCTTTGGGGCACACGTGAGGAACACAAATGCAAACAAGCCTGAATGGTCCCCAGGACTATATACAACTGAAAACTCACACCCCAGAAGTGACTCGAACCCATACTCCCACAACTGGTATGTACAGGGACGCCTTAATCCGCTTGACCATCACGACCGGACATAAGGAAGTGATAGCCGAGGCTATATGAACCACTTCCCCGCCGGCACTCGGATGGTAATCTTGGGCATAGCATTTTATCAAATCACCTCATTCTTTGGGGCACACGTGAGGAACACAAATGCAAACAAGCCTGAATGGTCCCCAGGACTATATACAACTGAAAACTCACACCCCAGAAGTGACTCGAACCCATACTCCCACAACTGGTATGTACAGGGACGCCTTAATCCGCTTGACCATCACGACCGGACATAAGGAAGTGATAGCCGAGGCTATATGAACCACTTCCCCGCCGGCACTCGGATGGTAATCTTGGGCATAGCATTTATCAAATCACCTCATTCTTTGGGGCACACGTGAGGAACACAAATGCAAACAAGCCTGAATGGTCCCCAGGACTATATACAACTGAAAACTCACACCCCAGAAGTGACTCGAACCCATACTCCCACAACTGGTATGTACAGGGACGCCTTAATCCGCTTGACCATCACGACCGGACATAAGGAAGTGATAGCCGAGGCTATATGAACCACTTCCCCGCCGGCACTCGGATGGTAATCTTGGGCATAGCATTTTATCAAATCACCTCATTCTTTGGGGCACACGTGAGGAACACAAATGCAAACAAGCCTGAATGGTCCCCAGGACTATATACAACTGAAAACTCACACCCCAGAAGTGACTCGAACCCATACTCCCACAACTGGTATGTACAGGGACGCCTTAATCCGCTTGACCATCACGACCGGACATAAGGAAGTGATAGCCGAGGCTATATGAACCACTTCCCCGCCGGCACTCGGATGGTAATCTTGGGCATAGCATTTTATCAAATCACCTCATTCTTTGGGGCACACGTGAGGAACACAAATGCAAACAAGCCTGAATGGTCCCCAGGACTATATACAACTGAAAACTCACACCCCAGAAGTGACTCGAACCCATACTCCCACAACTGGTATGTACAGGGACGCCTTAATCCGCTTGACCATCACGACCGGACATAAGGAAGTGATAGCCGAGGCTATATGAACCACTTCCCCGCCGGCACTGGTAATCTTGGGCATAGCATTTTATCAAATCACCTCATTCTTTGGGGCACACGTGAGGAACACAAATGCAAACAAGCCTGAATGGTCCCCAGGACTATATACAACTGAAAACTCACACCCCAGAAGTGACTCGAACCCATACTCCCACAACTGGTATGTACAGGGACGCCTTAATCCGCTTGACCATCACGACCGGACATAAGGAAGTGATAGCCGAGGCTATATGAACCACTTCCCCGCCGGCACTCGGATGGTAATCTTGGGCATAGCATTTTATCAAATCACCTCATTCTTTGGGGCACACGTGAGGAACACAAATGCAAACAAGCCTGAATGGTCCCCAGGACTATATACAACTGAAAACTCACACCCCAGAAGTGACTCGAACCCATACTCCCACAACTGGTATGTACAGGGACGCCTTAATCCGCTTGACCATCACGACCGGACATAAGGAAGTGATAGCCGAGGCTATATGAACCACTTCCCCGCCGGCACTCGGATGGTAATCTTGGGCATAGCATTTTATCAAATCACCTCATTCTTTGGGGCACACGTGAGGAACACAAATGCAACAAGCCTGAATGGTCCCCAGGACTATATACAACTGAAAACTCACACCCCAGAAGTGACTCGAACCCATACTCCCACAACTGGTATGTACAGGGACGCCTTAATCCGCTTGACCATCACGACCGGACATAAGGAAGTGATAGCCGAGGCTATATGAACCACTTCCCCGCCGGCACTCGGATGGTAATCTTG